TAGTTATAAATAACGTCAGATGTGTTCACCTGTCGACGTTGAACGGGAGCAAAATGCTGCAGCTGGCTTTCTGGTACGCGACTTTGTACGTGAGGCTAGTCTCCGGAATAACTCTTGGTAAGTTCGACATTGATCCAGCTCACCGTGTTCACAGCCTATGATATGAAGAATTCATTGACATTTAAACAGTACAGTACAGTATAAAAGTTTACTAAAGGATGATTCGATCTGTTTTGAATGTTTCGAGACGATAGGGCAATGACTATTTCAAGGAGAAACGGAATACTGATTCTAAGGCTTCAGATGACAAACGGAATGCAGGCGAAAGAAGGAAAAAACTTTCCAAAATTGTTGGTTGTGTTTGTGAAATCAGTGTAAATTACGAGGCTCTACCATCTCCTCACCAATAACTCACGGAATGCGATGGTCGAGGCCTCATTGCGAGGCGACTTTGGTTTTTCGCAATACTTCAGTAAAAACCCCAAGACGGTGGCATTTCGAGTTTTGTTGTGCCTGGTGCTCTGTGGCTTGCCGCAATCTCAAACTCAGAATATTCAAGTGGGATGAGCAATATTCCGGCCAATTCATATCCATTCCTGATTTTTCCTAAAAGCTCTTCATCTTAAGCATATAACTGTTGACTAGGCTGATGCTTCCAAACTGGAAGGAAATATTTTTGAATCGAGGACCAGTTTTATCGAAAAGTTGGGGTGGTACTGACTGCATTGTCCGGGACGTGGTTAATACCGTGATAATGATATTTTTTGGCGAGCATGGCTGAGAAAATTCGGAACAGAAATGTAAATAGATACAGCCAACATCCTAAATCAATAACGTTAGCTGCTACAAATGTCCACACCATTGCGCGGTAATTTAGTTTGCAGTGTCACCTGCACGCAGGTGTACATTGTTGTTCTCTGACGTGCGAGAAGGGTTTGTCGCGTATTGCTCGGCTGAAGTGCAACACATTCTGTTCTTCACTCAAACCACAATGCTCTGATTGTGCTGGCATATCGATTTCATAACTACACGGTACTACTTTAGCTCTGGCAGTATATGGATCTAAACCCAAATCTAACATTGTAATTCAGGAAAAGATTCCTAAGTACGAAGATTATTCCCCTACCCCTGCGGCGTGGATTCACCTTACGCACACGGATCATCAATACACCTGAAAGGCTTTAATAACATTTAAACAGTGTAGTACAGCATAAAAATTTACTAAACGATGATTCTATCCATTCTGAATGTTTCGAGTTGATAGAGCAGTGACTATCTCACGGAGAAATGGAAAACTGATACTAAGGCTTCAGATGACAAACGGAGTGCAGGCGAAAGAAGGAAATCTTCCCATCTCCTCACCAATAGCTCAATGAAATCGTTGGTTGAGACCCTATTCGCGATACCTCGGCAACACAGCCCGAAATGGTGGCGTTTCGGGTTTTCTTGTATCTGGTGCTCTGTGGGTTACCATACTCTCACGTCTGGTTGTGCAATATTCTGCCCAGTTGAAGAAAACCATTCGAAATTACTTGTGTATTCTGGATTTTTTTCAAAAATCCGCTCACCCTAAGCATATAACCATCAATTGCACTGATATGTCCAACGTGGAAAGGAATATTTGTGAATATATTACCAATTTCGTCGAAGACACTCGGTGTTAGTGAATACACTGACTGGAAGGGAAGTCATACCGTGGTGATGATATTTCATAACGATCACGGCTGAAAATTATTGAATGTGGAACTCATAAAACAGAGAAGTAAATTGACACTCGACATCCTAGATCAATAGCGTGATGAGCTACATAGGTACACGCTATAACGTGGTAATTTAGAGTCTGCAGTGCCACACTGCACGCAAGTGTTCTTTGTTGTTCTTTGATGTGAGAAAGCAGGCCCACGGTTTGTCGCATATTACTTGGTTGAAGGGCAACACTTTCTGTTCGCGGTTTGAACCACAATGTTCTGGTCGGGTAGGCATATCGATTCTCTCATTGCACGTTACTACTCTGTTTCTGGCAGTACATCAATTTAGACCCAAAACTAACAGTGAAATGCAGCAAATGATTCCTAAGTACGAGCAATAATCCCCTAACCCTACTGCATAGATTCATCTTACTCAAACAGAACAACAATATGCCTGTGAATGAAATGAACACAAAGTGGTTATGCTACCGCAGTTTATTAAACACGAAGAACCATACCCCAAAGTGGTGCTTGAAACCCATCAGCCATTACACTTAGCCGCCTGTGCTAAATGACAGTACGTCTTTCTTTACGGATGACAATAAGTTGAACCTTCTGCAGAAGAAATCGGTTCAACCAATTATGTGACATCTAGTGATACCAAGGTGCATAGGGAAACACGTTAAGCATTGACGAGAACGATCAAGCGATTTGTTGTAAGTTGGCGGAGCTATCCAGTAAAATCACACTCTTTATTCAATCGAAGCAAATTCCAGGTAGAAACAGTGACTGTTTTTTTTACACAGAACACATCGGCTGTGGATTTTTACTATTGGTGAATGCGAATCATACGTCGTTCTATGTGTCTGTTCACACAGAAACCCAAGTACGCTTCTTGGATCAAAGCGATGCATTCGAAGATGCAGACTTCTGCAAATTATTGAGTCCAAATTTCGTTTTATCAATGAACGGACACCGCTCCTGTTGACCTTGTATACGGACCAACATAGAAATTTTAGCGGATAATTCACACGTAAATCTCTCACACCAAACTTGTATACTGCATGTGCATTTGTTTTTTACGCAAATTAATCGGATTTTTCTGGGTCACTCATCGTCCTTGATGGTTAGCTGCCATCTGCCTAGAAGAATCCAAGATACCACCTCTCTCAAAATACTCAAAGTACTACGCTCCTGCAGTACCTTCATTCTATAACCTTCATTCTGTAAGCTTTTGCTCAATTACATCCTCGGTTGGTTTTCTTTCGTACTAATCGCGGGCACCCTCTTGCTTATGATATCCAAGGAGTGCTCGCATTCTATCACATAAACATTCCAAGGTCATCTTTCGCACCAGCCGCGTACTTCAGACATACAATCCATATTATCGCCACGATTTCGCATCCATGTTTCAAAAACACGCAACATGACTCAACCATGCTGGGCTGCGGTCAATTCAATTTGCCGCAAAAAATATGCATAGCTGTCTCTTTGTCTACGTATCAAAGCCGCTATTTTCAGACCCACCAAAATACTCTTCAAAACACAGCTTCGATCATTCACGTCTCGGGTCAAGACTGACTTGTGGCGTGTTTTAATAGGATTTAATCGATGTCATGCGGGCGTACTCATACAACAGAGCTCCGATTGGCTGGAAACGTAACTGCCCGACAGATGGCTAAATTTCCTCATATGATGAACCTATCAACTCCCGCTTATCATACACCAGCGATTCACTCGTGATTCAGCTGAGCACCAAGGAAATTTACAGACAAATGTTTTTTACCCAAACTTTTTTCTGCTTTTATTTAAGCAATGTATTTCACTGCAATGCTTGTTACGCAACCAGGGCTAGCGAAAACGACGAAATAGAAGTGACTGCTCAGTACTTTGCCCCATGAACCTGACATGTTTAAAGCTATAAAATTGCTGGCCCTAAAGACCAAATTCTTCCAGATTTTTTGTTGTAGAAGAACAAGTTTATGACGTCCGAGCGATTAATGCATCTTTCAATCACGTCCCATACTTTATTGGCCAGCTGAACATGGATTCATCTATCCAATGTGACGTCAACTCATCTACATTGTGCATTCTTTTCACTGTAGCTGGCTAAACGCGCCCAACAGCATTGGGATTCCGGCTTGTTTTCCGACTGTCACTACCATTCCAAGCAATTGGTTCAGGCGAAGGCAACAGAGCTTCTCTACACGATCAAGGTCGACGGGGACAAGCTAACTCCACCACATCAACAGGGAGAATCTCACGATTTCCTAATGTGGCGTGTTAACCGACTGCTTCCCGGTGATGGGAAGGGGTGTGGAACAGCGGTTGGGGTGGGGCAGAAGAGTGACACCTACGGTAAGTCCAAGCACAAAGTGATGATCACCCCGGGGGGGTGAGCATCTTCATTACAGGTCAAAACCACATGAGTTTATCTCTTCTGTTTCAATTTGTTTCGGTTAGGTGTGGTGGGCAAAACGAATAAACAGCCTCGGTTTTGATGATTTTCCCCAGCGTTTAGTCCGCCAGCCGCTGTAGACACTCGGCTCGGTCGGATAGTGATTGACGATGGCGTATAAACGACTGAAACCTACCAAACGCGATTGCCTGAGTTATCCCTTACTTGAACGATTGTTAGTTTTATCGGCTGATCGTCGCATTGTAATGCTGAGGTTTTCCGGCACTAGAACACTGCGAATTCTACTACTAAAATACACACAGCTCCCCTCCTGTAGGTGTACACAACTTGGCCCTAATGCTGTCATATGTGTTGATCAGAGCGCCTGTCAGTCTGCTTCATGTAGTCGCCACTCGGTGCGATATCATGGAATGGATCGCAATATCACAATTATCATCTAGCTTAAAGGTCGAGACAATGTCTCAAAGACAAATGCACTCATTTGCATATCCATTTGGGTTTGACGGGAGACTTATCTGGAACGCAGCTGAATATCTTGTTTATGACGTTTTTCAGGAGATTCTAAGACCCAAGGGTAGTTGAATGCTCTTGAAGCGATAATTATACTCCTGGTCATCCATAACGCGACGAAGCCATCGTCGAATATCGTGGCGGGCAAAACTGTCTGACTTTAATTAAGGGCAAAATAAGTTCGAGCGGAGACCCGAAACTATTTCAACTAATGTCATCAAGCACCTGGCGGATCATTTCTTGAATTTGAGCATTTGGAAAATGCGCCCGTAGAAGCAACTCCCACTCGTTGCCATTGTCACATCGGCGGTCAGTTTGGACCCATCATAAATAGTAGGGGAGAATAGTTCCGCTAATGTATAGAAGAAGTATTGTAATGGTCAACAGCGCCTCATAGGATCATCACCAACTAGATGCGCGCCTGTCTATTGATTATTTCATTTGTCGTGACATCATCGAGCCTTACCAACTACTTAAATGAACAGAGTCGAGCTTGTTCTCACTGTCACTTATCTATTGCATGAGGTAATAGCTGACTGGAAGGCAGCTGGTCTTCTCCAATCTAGTGCATACGGCGGGCTGAGAAAAGGATAACTCTACAGGATGATTTTGCGCGATGTTGTTGTTCGGACGAGTGAGGCGTCATACCATACTGTGTGCGGGATCATCGACTTGTGTATGGCTTATTTTTGCACCTTTTTTTATTTGCGCATCTCTTTGGGATTTGCAACAGTTGCTGAAGAACGGTGATGTACATTCAAACTAGACCACAAACCAAAACCACTTCATTTGGTGGAAACGCACTACAGTGGCCGAATTTCTCTGTACAGGAGACGACACGGGTATCAAATGTTCATCATTCCGCGTAACTTTTCCTCGTTTCTGCTTACTACCCTCAAAGTGTTTGGGTTTGCGTTAGCAAATCCTGTGCACTGGATGATGCAGTTCAATAACAAACAAGTTTTGTCCGATCATTTCTTCATAAGAGTTTGTTCAGACGAAATCGTGCTACCCATCAACATCCAAATCCAATAGTAGTTGAGGCTTTTCTCCTCTGTGCAGACAAATACGCAGATGCTATAATCTAATATGAAACAACTTGTAGTTCTGGGGCAACTGGTGAGCAATGGCAGAGATACTTTATGAAGCTTGAAAATTCATCGTCAGCTTGGCGAAATATCTGACGTGGAGAATATTTTGCTCGTTCACAATGCTGCTTTTGAAAACCATCCACAACAGAGAATCCTGATTGTTTGGGGTTCAGGCGCTAATCAAGTTACTGTGATGGAGAAGTGTATTCCACAATGGGCGAGAACAAAAGCACAAAACCTATTGGCATGCCTACGACTAAATCTCCAAAGTAAGTTGTGATGTGCTCCCGTCAGCGTAGTTATGACCTTCGAATGCTGACAGCCGGAAATTTTCTCCACTTGTTTTCAGACTTGTACCTTATGTCCCATGATATCCTTCCATTCATGAGTAAGTTCGCGATAATCTATCCTTCCTCGTTGTCTATTTACACATCTTTATGGGAATAAAACTCAACTGATGTCTTGATTCCTAGATTACATACTGGTTGCCCCGTATAGCAACGACTTTTGTGATAAGGTGGGTTTAATTTCACTTCTAATGACCATTTTGATGTGCTCCATTCAAGCTTGGTATCTATCATTTGCAACGATGGATAGAAACCAGTTTGTGCCGTCACGAAGAGACTGAATCCTATGTTGGTGCGACGGTTTGCGCACCTCAGCGACTGACTAAGCTATAGTTGAGGGGTGTCCCCGCGACACCCACAGAGTCTCCCATACCAAGCTGGTAAATGGTTGTTAGTCTGACAAACACAGTCTCTCGGTCCTCCAGGTTGCAGGTTGGCGACCTGTTCCGTAGAAACGGCCAAACATCGCTGCTTTGCGACTGAGCTTTTAAGTCAAACACTGGTTGAGGTCTTTAAACGTCCTTTTTTCTAGTTGTGGGCTCCCTGACAGTATTCAAACTCATGTAAATCCGTGACACTTACAACTAACACTACTGCCATGCCACATAGGCCGTCGCGTGGTGTCACTAACCAGCTCGCCCTACCCACTGCATACATCAGGGCGGGTAAGTGAAAATAGGTTGCTGTTGGCGCCTCCTTTCTAACTCTTTCACATACTTTTTCCTCCCCCATTCTCCACCCCATTAATAGCTTGAACCTTATGAGCCTTGCACATAGGACGTCTTGCATCTGTTATTTGCGTACAAAATCTACTCTCACATGGCGCCGACATTCTCAAAGATTCCTAAGTCAATCTTCAAGCCTCGACACCCTGTGTATCTATCCACCTTCAATGTCCGCACTCTGAAGCAAGCAGGACAACTAGCTTCTCTCGCTCTTACACCGGACTCTCTTGGCATTGATGTGTGCTGTGTATCAGAAACAAGAATTCAAGATGCAACAACAGTGATTGGGCTAACCGCCTTATCACTCTCCACCCGATTTCGGCTACGTACCTCTGGTGATCCAGAAGCTGCTGCGGCGAGATGTGCAGGTGTTGGTATAATCCTAAGTCACCGGGCGGAAGTATCCTTGTTTGAATGAATATTTGATGATAGCCGCCTCTGTGCGGTTCATCTAGCAACGTCTGTGAATGAGTCTCACAAGTGGGAAGTTGATCGCTCTCAGTTTATCGTGTCTGCCTAAGCCCCAACTGACTGTAGCTCGGACACCATCAAAAGCAAGTTTTACGACGCCCTGTGGCAAGATAAAAGCTCGGTTACCATGGTGGTTGCCGGAGGTATGAATGCATTAGTGGACCGGCTTATCGTATCTGAGACTAAATTAAGAGGTCGACATGTATCAGACCTGATACGTACGGGCAATGTTGAATGACTGCTTCAGCTGTGTGCTGATCGCAGGCTGTTTTTATGCAGTACCAACTTCCGAAGTAGTTGAAATCGTCTGGCCACATAGTGTTCTCCAAAGGCATGTCAACCGCAAACTCAAATCGACCGCATTGCCATCATTTACCGATGGCGCGGATCCATAACTGACTACCGGTCGTTTTGGAACACATTTGTGGACTCTGACCACGCGCTCATCCGGAGTCGCTTCGCCCTACGTTTCCCGGGGCCGCGTAAGGTGCGGACAAATCGCATGGCAACTGAAAGACGGGCAGATCCGGATGTTAGAAGACCTTACAAGAATCGTCTTCTAGAGTCTATTCCGAAGGCTCCACCATCAGATTTTAATTCATACTGGGACGAGATTGCCGCCTCTTTGCATGGTGCTGCGAATTTCGCCTGACACAGCACGACAGGCGCACTCAAGCACTGGATAACAGATCGAACGATGACACTGCTTAAATCTCGGGGAAATATCTCGGGCGGTCCTAAACAAAGCCTGGCATGACTAGTTATCAAGTGAAAGTTAGCGTGTGAGCCGACTGTGAAGGGTGGTGGACACACAAAGCCAAAGAAATGGAAGAGACCCAGGAAGCCAGTATTGCCCGAGGATTATTTCAGTTGTTTCGTGCGACTAGTCCACGGAAACCACCTGTTAGTTAAACCATCAAGGATCAGAGAGGGAATGCCATCTTGAATAAAAAAGAACACCTCGACCGATGGGTCGGATACTTCAAACAAAGATTGTCGTGCCTACCATCCGCCACTCATCTGGAGCTCACATATGACGTGGAACCACCTGTGGCCTCGGAGGTTTACGCTGCATATGTTCTCTCAAGCGCCACCGAGCTACTGGTCCCGGACGACCCCCCCCTGCATTGTTCAAAGATGAGGGTAAATTCTTCTGTCAGCGCTTGCATTTGGGAAGAGGAGTCTGTGCCAGCAACTGGAGAGTCGATTATGTTGCCCATTTTCAAGAAAGGAGCTCGTAGTGAGTGTGGTAACCAAAGGTGGATCAGCTTGACCCCGATCGTAACGAGACTGTTGACGTCAATTGTGCTTCGTCGTCTTACGGTGGCTCGTGAGATACTGACTCGAGATTAGCAAGCGGGATTCCGGCCTGGTAGGGGTTGTGTTGACCAAATCTTTACACGAATCCGGTTAGGCGCAGGATGTGCAGAGGCAGTTGGTGAAAAAAGATAATATATATCCAACATAGGGCACACACCAATACCGCTTCAGCTGAGGCGTTCCAAGCTGGCGATAGCTACTTATGTAAGTGGTGAACGCCGTGTGGAGTATGCACGAGGGGCCTACAATTGGCCGAGTAAATCACGTGTGATGTCCGAATGCACGAGCATGATCAACAGCAAAATAGTCTTCTAAAGCCCCGGAGCTGAACACGAAATTGCCGACGGGGCGCCCAACCCACCAAACTAGTGACACCAACAACGGTGAGCCCACGATTAACCGGTGGGGAGTTGGAGATATTGTTGCCTACATCCATGAACAAATTTCCTTACCCATTTCGTTATGTTACTTGCATATCTTTCGGGCTTTATTGGTTTAGCTATTCCAATGTTCTAGCTTTATATACTTCCATAATCTATTGAAAGACGTGATTTGGTTGATGACATTAGCGACAAAATGCATCTCACGATTTTTTTTGTAACCATGACGCCACAGACCCCATTTCTTAGTCTAGCACGGTTCTATTCTCATCTGTCCACCGCGAAGTTGATGCTGCCTGGTTGCATGGAACACACACGCAATGACTGTCAGTGCACCAAAGGTTGACGAAAACTGATATGTGAAACGCAAAACGGTTCAGGTATTACATACATAGAACATCCGTCTCGTTTATTAGGCGAAAATGTTTTGGGTGCCAATGTAACTTCAATGGTGTCATTCAGCAACTAGGCTATTGAGTCGTCATTTCCTTTCCATTCTTTATACGATGCGACGTTGGAACAGATCGCGCGAAAACGATACAACGACGGCCAATTTTCTGTTGATGATTGCGAACTGCTTGAGAAAAGCGACCAAAAGATCGATGGTGTGCAATTGGGCAAATACGAACTCGCAACGTACGACGAACGCACTTACAAGAGTTCTACGCTTTATGATGACATGGACTTGCTGATGCTCGGTCAGATGAGCGAAAGTTCAAACCAGTGTGATTTGAACGGATACTGGGCACCAGTTAACAAGCACTACTGTAAGTAAATAGTACCTTGTCGAGTGCAATCTTTTTCAGCGAGTGTGCTGTTTAGTCAAACCACCAATGATGTCTTAACCTGTTCTTATCCGTCTGAACCATACTCATCCAAGCCTTGGCATTAAAATTTCAAAGCTATTTGTGTCTTAGAAATCGGAGCTGTTTTCTCCAAATGACTGGTACTCATTATTCGGCAACCGAGAATATCGCTTGAAATATTCGCCCACGCACCATACATGAGACCAATAATAAGTAGGACAGCTGAATCGTTGACTAATTTTTGACATTATTCGAATAAAGATGTTGTTGACGAATGTTCCCCGTGTGATGACTGATCGATGATGTTTGAACAAGGTAGTGTGAACAACACAGCTGTGGGATGAATTTATTCCGTACGCTCTTTTTCACAGCAAAGCGCGTAAAACAGCGGAAGATGAATCATTCAACGCAGCGTACAATTGTGAAACAACGTGAGTGACGAATTAGACCAAGGCAGACGCAGCAAGACGTATGTCTTTCTGAGCGCTGAAGACAAGCTTAAGAAAACTCATCAGTATGGCCTCAAAGAACTGCGACCTCTGTGGCCGCCTGTTTCATGTTGTACACGTGACGATTAGCTGAGTCCATCTCCGTGATATATGTGAATTCGATGCCTGGCGATGGACAATTAGCTCCTGGTTTCGACCAGGTTCAGTTTGGGATGAACTGACGTGGTACGGAGTTCCTCGGTCACTTATTAGTGTTGAATGCCTCCGATCAGATTTTCTGACATACTCATTACCACAAGTGCAGATGAACTGATGAAGATAAACTGAATATTGTCGTGGTGCTTGGTGGCAGTGGTATAGCCCACGCACATGTTGCAAGTACCGCATCGTCAGTCCAGGGGTTGCTGGTGGGCCCTTTAAACAACTCGGGGCCGCTGTAACTTTTGCACTCGTGTGAACTCGCTCGTTGCCATAATGTCGTGTTCCTTGTCTGTGAGTTCTTTTTCCGGCTCTAGGCACTGGAGCAGGAACATCAGTCAGATATAACAGCTTCAGATACCCGCTTGGAATGAAACGACGTACCACATAGAAGCGAGTGAAAAAATGAATGGAAATTGCTCTACGCCAGGCATTTGTTTTGATTAGTGTGGGTCGCATGAGGGACGTCCAGCGAGTGAGCATCAGAAAACCGTTGAATTAAATGGAGGACTGTCATTTCTAGTGATTATACGTCTTCACTCCTTGGTTTGACGAGACTATCCTCGTCCGATTTCAACTCCAACATTAGCCAAATGCAATTAGCTCACTCAATTCACTGACACTAGCATTATCGTTTAGATTTATAGTCGCCCTCCCCAACATGATGGGAATTCTCTTGTACTATCGTCTAGAATGGCAATGCCTGTGCATTACAATTCCCATATTTTTGTATTTAAGATGAGCAAAGCATTGAGAATCTTCTCATGGGATCCATGTACTGTGCGCCAATTGGGTCGATGTTGGGGTTTCAACTCCAACACTAGCCAAATAAACTTAGCTTCACACATATATCACAACACTCCCGTTGTGCCTGATATTCCTCCCCAATGCCTGTTCTGTATAATCCCTATATTTTATATTTGGGCCGGTAAATCCGTGAGAAACTCTTCAATTTATACATGTTATTTTCTCGGTCCCAGCAATAGCAGTAAATTTGCAGCTGAGCATACTGTTATATCTGCTGATTTTCCGATCTGTTGTATCTGATTGCTGTTCCCACTCCAGTGTCTAGTGCCGGGAAAGAGACCCAATGATGAGGAACACAACAACTTTATTCCGAACAAACGAGTGCGATAGCGTGAGCGCGAAAACGCAACGACCTCAAGCTATTCTATTGGGAGAACACCGTCTAAACTTGGTCCAACACTGAATCACGCTATCTGGCTTTGATGCAAAGCTGTATATTGAGGCGGTGTTGTCTGTCTGGTCAGCATCTCGTACAGTTCAGGGTGGTACTTCTTTCAGGAGCGGGAGAACTGATGTC